ATATATATATATACACACATAATTTTTTTGGATATTCACAGATACATATGATATATATGAAATATCACTGATGTACATAGAGATATACACGGATACACATGTGGAGTCGTCTTGAACTTGAGTTTTCAATCTGAAATATGTCATACAAAGAAGGAAAATAAAATTTTAATATACATTTTTGATATACATATTATTATTATGTTATACACTGTGATATACAAATAATATAATTATCGAAAAAGGGCCAAAACTATCCCTATCGTTTGATAAATGGTTTATAAATACCCTCCGTCCATCTATCCGTTCAAAAAAATACACTCTGTCCATCTATCCATTCAAAAAAACACACGAAGTTAATTCTATTAACAAAAATACCCCCGCGACTAACGGCAGAACTGATGGAGTGTGTTTTTTTGAACGGATAGATGGACAAAGGGTATTTATAAACCATTTAGCAAACGATAGGGATTTTTGACCAAGAATCAAATATGGGTCTTATTTTTACCCATTTACCTGGTCCGACCCTATTTATTTGACCCGCCTAATTATTTTCTTTCTTTTTCTTTGCTTTTTTTTTTCATCACCCAGCACACCCACTCTCATCTCACAAAGAATTTTTAGCGTTTCTTTGTTGAAACAAATCTTTCTTTGTGTTTGAAAATATGGCTTTGGCTTTCACTTCATCTGCAATTCATGGCTCTTTGTCCTCCTCTTCTTCTTCTTATGAACATCCCAAAGGTAACCCTTTACTTCTTTTTTTTTACCTTTTATAGATTCAATCTTTATCCTAGAATATGGTAACCCTTTCACTTTTCAAGCTTTTTAGCACCTTGATTTCAATTTTCTTGTGCGCTTGTATCAGTTATATGTAGTTATTTTTTCTCTGTTATTTCCTGGCTCTTTTGTCTTCTTATGAACAATCCAAAGATTTCCATTACTTGTCCCTTTCAAAGTTTCAATATTTCTCCTAGATTTGATTGATATATTTGGACAATTTTAGCATTTGGGTTCAGTTTTTTTGTTTCAGATTTTTGGTTTGTTTTGATCCTTGTCTTCTTACTTAACAATCCAAATGTATCTGTTGATTTTCCATTTAAGAGTTTCAATACTTATCCTGAGTTTGATTGGAGAAATTTCAGAATCTGGTTTGAATTTCGGGTTATTTGATTTTGGGATTTATCTATTCTTTAATTAATTTGTTATTGTGTGTATGCAGTGTCCCAATTGGAGAAGAAGAAAGGGGGAGATCAGATGAGTGAGAATGGGTGTGATAGATACTATCCATTTTTGTAAATAGGTCAGATAAGGTAAATGGGTTGAAATAATATCCATTGTTTGTTCCAGTCAAAGATTGCCACGTGGCCCAATTAAAAATCCCTAAATGGTTTATAAATACCCTCCGTCCATCTATCCGTTCAAAAAAATACACTCCATCAGTTCTGCCGTTAGTCGAGGGGGTATTTTTGTTAATAGAATTAACTTCGTGCGGATAGATGGATGGAGGGTATTTATAAGCCATTTACCAAACGATAGGGATAGTTTTGTCCCTTTTCCCGTATAATTATTAATGTTTTATGTATATTTGGATATACAATAAAAACTAGAAAAATAATTAAAAAATATTTGAAAGTTTTTTCGAATACTACTGAAGGAAACGGAACCTAATTTCTAGGATGATGGTTGCTATGTGAGAAAAAAGAGGGGATTTTAAATATCTTTTGCTATTTTTAAGGAAAATATTTTGATGGGGCTTATTTTTAGGATGCTGGTTGAACCATTAGACGCGAGAGAATAACTTTAGGCTACCATATGCCAAATCCTAAAACGTTGGCTTTTTTATGCTTGGACGTAGTTGTCATGCCATGCCAAATCCCGTGAAAGCCAAAAGGCCCATTTCCTCTCATTATAGGAATTTTTACACAAATAGCCGGTCATATTAATTGTTTATTTTTTCTAGCAATATACATAGATTGTACACAAT